TAAATAAGTATTCTTATTTAATTAATATATGTTGCAATTATTTTAAAAAATAACAATAAAATAAAAATAAATATATTAAATAATATCTTGTAAAAAATAAATAATTAAATTTAAAGATTTTAAATTAAAATTTAGGTATAGCACATAGAGGGTATTTTTCTACTTATCTAATAAAGTGTAAAAATTATAAAAATAAGTTGTTTGTAGTTTGTACAACATCATTTTTTTCTTATTATAAATTTTTGTACCATATCCTTACTCAATTTCCAATTTCCAATTTCCAATTTCGACGTTCACATTTACTCCGTACGTTATTATTTATTTTATCATATATGCCCCCTCAATTTAATTTACTTTCAATCAAGTCCCTTTCCTTTAATAATAGAAGGCAAAAAATAAAATAAAATAAAAATGTGATGTGAGATATTTTCTTGAAATTTATGGTAAAAAACTTCGCTGATAAATGCTAATGAGCTAATAGCTTGAAGAGAATCTTTTTTCTCTTCTTTTGAATTTAGACATCTTATTGAATTAAAATGGTAATAATAAAAGGTGTGACTCCATGTTGCCTAACTTAACATTATATTTACCTATCAAAACATTTACATTGAATTAATTCTGTTGTAGTTTTGTTTTTTGGGTCTATGTCTATTAAGTCAACCCTGAGGCTAGTGAGAAACAGACAATTTAAAACTAATTTAAGAGATGTATAAGAAATTATCTATTTTGAGTTTGTTAACATGATTATAAGGTAATTTACTTGTAAAATTGGAGATCTCTAGGTGTAGAAAAGGAAAAGATGTATATAACATTATGGCATGATCGACTTAATAAGAAAAGGCACATTGATTAACAGGATAAAAAGCAATAAGCAAACCATTAAAGGGCATTGGCTTTATTGGCAATTGAGTTGTTTTTTTACCTCGAATATTATAGATCAAGATTTGATTTTATGGAAGGCTATCAGAAATAAACAACATTTTCTACATTATGCTAGTATCAATATGAATTTTTTTTTTTTTTTAGTTTAGAGGTCAATGTGTTCTCAAGTTGGTTTTTCTACACTTTAAAACTAATTTCTCTCTAATCTGATTAAAGACAAGTCATCTATGTTGGGAGTAAGGAGTTTATGAGAAATTATCTCTTTATTAACCTACCTAAGAAATCAAACTAGCTTTTTTACATTTCGAAACTAATTTATCCCCAATCTAATCAAAGGCAGGCCATCTATGTTAAGACTAAGAAATTCAAGAGGAATTACCTTCTTATTAACCTCCCCAACGAATCAAACATTGGTCAACAAGCTGGGAAGCAAATCCCTTATCAACTAAACCACAACTCTTTTGGTGTCTATTTTTAATTGAATCGATACCAAAATAAATAAAAAACCATAGCTATCTTACCAATCATGTTAACCCTTATGATCTGAAAAAAGACACATCACTTTACTTTTATTCAAAAAGAGGGAAGGAACATTTGTGAAAGAAAGTTGTTGGCTAATGCAACCTTGTGTATCGACTCTTTTGCACCTTACAAAGTAAGCAATTACATATAACTTTAATTCAGTCTTCGACTCCTATTGAAGAAGATGAGAACTTGAATTCAAAGATTTGGTTGGGGTTTTAGAAAGCAACGTGGAGTGATGACTAAGAAATGCATATGAAAACTAAGTCATAGAATCACTGAAAATACCCACAAAGGTTATTGCTTAGCAGAGGGTTTTGATAGTACAAGAGGACCTTTGGAAAGATTTCCCATTTTCAGTAGACTTCAGAGCTGAGAGGAGGAATTTACTAATATTTCAAAGACCTGGACTTTGTCCTACTAAATGACAAGAAAATTTCATGCATACCTCATGTAATAAAACCCCACAAAAGAATTATGTATTCTACTGTTAAGCGTGCTCAATTTGGAAATTGAAAATAGACAAAATTATCACAATGCCATTACATTTCTTACATTTTACCACGAGATATAATTACAATGACAAAATTATTGAAAAGAGAGCTATTTATACATAAATTTTACATATTATATTTACATAAAATTTTATTTTTTTATCTTTTTATTTTTATTAATTGAGATT